CAAATTTTTCATCCAAATATTTATAGAAAGAAATATCATAACATAGAATTTTATGGTTTTCCTTCAATTAAGTTCCATACAACATAAGCCTTCATGCCTCTTAATCAACTTTATAAGCTCAGGGGTCACTAGCCAATAGCACCTGTAAAGTTGCTTGTCATGTGCTTGAAAAGCAAATTATAGAAGAAGGCATAACTAGGAACTAACAATTTTGAAGAAGGAAATGCAACATAGAATTTTATGGTTTTCCTTCAATTAAGTTCCATACAACATAAGCCTTCATGCCTCTTAATCAACTTTATAAGCTCAGGGGTCTCTAGCCAATAGCACCTGTAAAGTTGCTTGTCATGTGCTTGAAAAGCAAGTATAGAAGAAGGCATAACTAGGAACTAACAATTTTGAAGAAGGAAATGCAGGTGAGATGAAGTAAGGAGTTGAAAAGACCCAGTACATAAGGTAATGTTATCATTCATAAGACCAAAAATGAAGGAAAAAATGAAATCAATTCTCAACCTGAAACAGCTTAGAAGTGAGAGAGGTACTAAAAGTACAGCAAATTTTGATCAGCTGGAAACAAATTAAGCAGAAATGGTAAATGAATTAAATAGCTATATGGTATAGAAACCATATGTCAGGTCATGCCGAGTAGAAATTAGTACAAGGAGATATATGTATAGAGTGAGAGAGGGAGAGATAGATAGATAGATAGATAGATAGAGATAGAGAGAGAGAGAGAGAGAGAGAGAGAGAGAGAGAGAGAGAGAGAGAGAGAGAGAGAAGAAAGTAAAAGAATATATTCCCTAAATAACTTAGCCGTTCCTAACTGAAATCCCAAGAAAACCCAGAAGAAAAAATTTCAGCAAAATCCAGCTCAAATTCACTTAGTTCCTGGCCCATTCTGGTTAAAAACAAATCAACTAAGATGGGATGAAAATGCCAACTCCAGTGTCAAGTTCTTGGTAAATGATTGGCTCTTAATACAATGTACGAGATCAATATGTAAAGTACATAAAATAAAGATCCATGTCAAACAGAAATTTGTCCTCTTTTTTTTTTCTTATGGTTGCTGATAATACCTTGCATCTATTGCAGATATTAAAATTCTGATATGATTAGGGGGAATTACCTTTAAGGAATACCCAGAGAAGGCTCCAGGAAATTGCTTGGCCATAATTTCCATGGCTGCAAGAAATGCAACAACCTGAAAAACCAACAAAATATATGGGGCATGCTTTGTAACTCATAAAATACATTAGAACAACTAACGTCCAGTGAATATCAGATCACCTGTTTCCCCATTTGTGGGGAGATCACGGCGTAGATCTTAGAATCCTCTACAGTTTTATATAGCAGATCCCTGTCTCCACCAGTGGTTCCCATAACAAAGGGCACTCCAACTTTGCAATAGAGCTCAGCGTTATCTAAATATCATAAAGCAAAACCCACCAAATGACTAATAGATTGGCAAACAACATGTTAAATAATAGTAAACACAACAAGGAAAAACAAATTGTATGAGCTATTACCATTCACAGCATTAGGCACGGTGTAGTCCACCACAATCAAGTCGGGATACTCGTTAAACACAGATGAAAGGATGCTTACTCTATCAGCTGGACCATGCACCAGAATTTCCTTTCCACATATTTCCACGGTTTGCCCTGCCTCCTCTGCAGATCCAAATGACATGGGAACAATATGGAGTCCAGCAGATTCTGCCGCTTTTATAACAGCCTTTCCCATGTTGCCACTGCATCCATTTACCTGAAGTTGATTGAGTAAGATCACAGGCAAGAAGTCACTAAGGGGAAATTGTCCAGCAAATACCCTTGAATCTCCAACATTAACAGCTCTAGCTACTGAATGTTCACAAAACATATTAAAGCCTTTTCTCTTAATTTCCACACCTAATCTTTAAATCAGAATTGTGAAACAAAATAAAATGTCATTACTGTAACAATCAATGTAAAAGAAAAAAAAACACTTCCTAACGATCACATAAGACGACTGAAAATTCATGTTATTTTGATAAACTAATGCCTCCAGGTGAAAATACATTTCATATATACATATAAACTGCCAAACCATGATAGGGATGCCGATGCTCTTTGAACTTGGCTTCTCTACATGTTCAATGGGCAGGGTCGACATAGACACCCGGAGAGGAAACCGACGTTTTTGCTTACAGACAAAGCTAATGCCAGTATTGCAGCTAATGCTCCGCCCATTTCCTGCATAGAAGAAATCCACGAGCTTATGTTCTCGTTGAATGACGGGATTTGCAGTCGCCATTAACCTGTAGCCATAATCACAACAAAGAAAACAACTTTTAAGCTCTGCAACATTTTTGTTTCCAGATAAACAGGAAATGCGGTTCCAAGATGGTACCCATTCGCTCTCATTTTGAAAATGCTGATAATCAATGTCGTCACTGGGAGTGTGAACTTCGGAAGGCCAGGAGACGGAGAAATTAAATTTTGATTGGGGTTTAGGGTTTTTGAATCTTTTGACTATTATGGGCCCTATTTCGTCTTTCGGTTCAAAACTTAATCCGAACTGAACCGGGTCCACTCATCGATCCCTCGGTGTGGTGCACCGTTTAATTATAGGTACAATATTTGGTTACTAATTAGTAATTTAGTATATATTTAAGTAAAAAAATATAATAAATTCTAATGACTATATATTAATTAAATGTCAAATAAAGTTTGATGTAATTATTTTAATTAATAAAATTATCATATTATATTTTAATTTTATAAAATTATAAACTTTAACATGCATTATCTTATAAACCCTTTAATTATTGAAATTATTCACGATTTTTCTTCATACTTCGTTTTCAAAATTGAAAGGAATCATTGACTAATTAATAATATTTTTAAATATTAAATTTTTATCACTACTACAAAATTTCCAAAATTAAAATTGTACAAAATTAATAATTTTTATTATTTTCATAAATTATGGAATAAAGTTGAGCCCACCGTAAAGCCCATACTCTTTTATTTAGGGCCTGTTTCTGTACGTGTCCTTTTTCCAATTCTTCTCTCTTTATCTTCCCCGCTGGTCCTCTTCTGTGTAACTGAACTAATCTAGGGTTAGAGCGAGCACCAGCTGAAAGCATGGCAACTCACGACCTGACCCCTAGGGTGGCGCCGAACCTGGACAGACATCTAGTGTTCCCCCTTCTGGAGTTCCTTCAAGAGCGCCAGCTATATCCAGATGAGCAGATCCTCAAATCGAAGATCGAGCTTTTGAACAAGACAAACATGGGTCGACTACGCCATGGACATTCACAAGAGTCTCTATCACACAGAAGATGTTCCCCAAGGTCTCTCCCTCGTATGTGTATTCGTGTGTTCGTTTATTTATGTTTTGTTTGTAACAAAAATTGGCTATTAACAGATATGGTTGAGAGGAGGGCAGAGGTGGTTGCAAGGCTTAAGGCCTTGGAGGAGGCGGCGGCGCCTCTCGTATCTTTTCTTCAGAACGCAAATGCTGTTCAGGAGCTAAGGGCTGATAAGCAGTACAATCTTCAAATGCTCAAGGATCGTTACCAGGTTTCTCTTTTTCTATTTTAGTTTATTAAGAATTGTTTTCTTCCTGTCACGTTTTTGCTGAATTTATACTGAATGAATTTGTGTTTTTTTAACATTCCTCTTTATCCCAGCTTTTTATGTTAAGTGGTAATGACATGTGAATTTTTAAACTTGTTATTTTAGGTGGAATGTTTATTGTAGCCTGAAATTATTAAGTATTCAATCTTGTTAACTTGGTGATGAAAGATTTCAAAGTTGCTTACATCTAGTTTCTTCATTTTGTGACGTCTTATGGAATCTATATAAGCTAGCTGATCTATCTTCCTCAGTGGCTTTGCAAGCTTCAGAATTGTTGTATATGTGTGCTTGATTAAGAAAATTAAGATTATATGATTCTGCACAGTTTTGACGAAGATTTATATTTGGATGGGCTTTGTATCCGTCTCTTAAAATTGAATTCTGATGTCGAAAGTTAGTGACTTGACCTGTATCGATCAGAGACATTATTGATTGATTTTTGTTGTTATGTCAAGTAAGATACAACTAATTATTTAGGTGAAAGAGAGAAGTTTTGTTTCTATCTAGCTCTGTCTCTTTCCCTTATTGATGGTTTTAGCTCTAACTATATATTGTATATTCAGATTGGACCCGAGCAGATAGAAGCACTATATCAGTATGCCAAATTCCAGTTTGAATGTGGCAACTACTCAGGTGCTGCTGATTATCTGTATCAGTATAGGGCTTTGTGCACTAACAGTGAAAGAAGTCTGAGTGCATTGTGGGGAAAGCTTGCAGCTGAGATATTAATGCAAAATTGGGACATAGCCCTTGAGGAACTAAACCGATTGAAGGAAATTATTGACTCAAAGGTTCTTGTTTCTCTGCAATAATGTGATATCAATTTTACTTCTATTATGCAATCTGTTTATACCTAGTGATTTTTGTTGCAGAGTTTCTCATCACCATTGAATCATGTGCAAAGTAGAATATGGTTGATGCACTGGAGTCTCTTCATTTTTTTCAACCATGATAATGGAAGAACACAAATAATTGATCTGTTTAATCAGGACAAGTATGTCTTCTGAATTGCTATCCTGCTTATTTATAAGTGTTGGATTCTCTTGATTAATTCTTTTTATTAAATCTGGAGCATCTTTTTGGTCGCTTGGGTTCTTTTTTCAGGTATCTAAATGCTATTCAAACCAGTGCACCCCATCTTCTGCGTTACCTTGCTACAGCATTTATTGTCAATAAAAGGAGGAGGCCTCAGTTCAAAGATTTTATTAAAGTTATTCAGCAAGAGCAGCATTCATACAAAGATCCAATCACAGAGTTTTTAGCATGTGTTTATGTCAATTATGACTTTGATGGGGCACAAAAGAAAATGAGGGAGTGTGAAGAAGTAAGTTATCCTTGACCTTAATTTGACTCTTTTGTGAGAAGGTTTATACTTTCCAAGTAGCATGGTTTATTAGAAATTCTCTTTGGCTTCTAGATTGGAGTGCCAAAAGAAAACTAGCTACTGTGCTACTGGCTCAAAACATGTGCACAGCACCCTAACTTATTACTGTGATGTAGGTCATATTAAATGATCCCTTCCTCGGCAAGCGAATTGAAGATGGTAACTTTTCTACTGTCCCTTTGAGGGATGAATTCCTCGAAAATGCTCGGCTTTTTATCTTTGAGACCTATTGTCGAATTCATCAGCGCATTGACATGGGGTGAGTGTTTGCTGTCTGAAATTGATTTTTGCTTGGCTTGACACGTAGATATGTTATTTTGGGATGGATCAAATTCTATGTTGAGCATGGGGGTTTTTTCAGTAGCATATCCTTGCATTGGATTTTGGGTTTGTTCACTACCATGCCTTTGTACTATCCAATAACTAACTGAATATCTATTTTTAGTTGTCAAAAAGTAGGATTGTTAGGTGTCTCTGTCGCTAATTATTGATGAAAGTCCCTTTATGATATTTTTTATTTGAACCTTGTGAATTTGGTAGGATTTTCAATTTAGAAGTCTTAAACCATTTTCTTTCTTTGTGTAAAAAACTTATTTTTATATCCACTGCTTTACGTTGCACCTTCATTTTGCACCCTGAGGAAGAGAACCCTACCTTCAATGCTAAGGTTTGGATATTGACTTGGTCTACGAATGTTTGTGAGATATTTTGTAGGATTTGTTTTCTGTTTGATTGTTTCTCTATTTTGAGCTACCAAAGCATTTAGCATACATTTCCTATTCTATATGGGATAATATTTACAATTTCCTCCAAAAAAATTGTCAGTTATCACAAGTTCATAAAATCAGGTTATATCAATACTATCGAGAAACTATGTATTTTCTCTACAATAGAAGACAGTACTTTTTGTTGTAGTTTTCTGAAGTAGATCTTGTTTACATTTCCAATTTCCTCACTGTGCTAATGCCACTTTATTTGCTTTTTTATTGGCAGAGTCCTTGCTGAGAAGTTGAATTTGAATTATGAGGAAGCTGAGAGATGGATTGTGAATCTTATCCGAGGCTCAAAACTAGATGCCAAGATTGATTCAAAGACAGGAACTGTTGTCATGGAGCCAAATCATCCCAATGTGTAAGATTATAGTTGTTATATTCAACACTTTGGTACTCTTATCTTGTGTTAAATATTGACCTTTTGCATAAAACAATCTTGACCATACGTATTACTCCCTTGTGAGAACACTTGTCTTCCATTCCACCTATCCCCGATTTCATTTGTATGCTTGTGTGTTTAACTAGCTGTCACAAACCAGAAATAATTTATCGTAATGCAGGTACGAGCAATTGATTGACCATACTAAGGCAATGTCTGGGCGTACTTACAAGTTAGTCAGTCAGCTGCTAGAGCACGCACAGACACACGCACAGACACAGGCTTCTCGATAACTTTGCCGATGAATTCAGGTAGGTATTTCATTGAATTTTGAGTATCTGGAGATTGCTTTCCCTTGCCAACGAGTATAGGTCGAAAATTAGATAAATTCTACTTTTGTAAGAATTCTCAAATGTGAGCTAAAGCAGTCATTAGTTTTGAAAATTTATTTACTTTTATGTCAAAAGAGCTCGACATTAGCTTTTTTGTATTTGCAAAGTTTAGAATCTGTCTTGTGTTTGAATGGGTACATGAATACTTTTCTTTAGCCTTATTTTGCTTCTACTTTTGTTTATATGTAGATTCCATTAATTTGATAATGACCATTTTCAGACGATTTTATTGGATGATCCTCTGAGTTGCTTTTGCCTTTCAGATTTATATTTATTTGTGATATTGACATGTTTTAGAATGTTTAATGGAGCTTTGGGCTGTGTTTGGAATAAGAGATTTTTCTTTTGTTATCTTTATTTGGAAATATATATTTATTTCAAATATTTAGGGGGAAAGTAATAAAAAATGTTTTTAAATAATTTTAAATTTTTCAGAAATTTAATTTAATTTATTATTTAAGGAAAGTCCGTTTTAAAATAAATGTAACTCTAAAAAAAAATTTTACTAACTAAAATTATTTGATATTTAATTTTTATTTTACAAAATATATTAGTTTTAAATTCATAATAATAAAATTATGATGACATATTTTATAATTTTTATTACTTATAAAAATAATATACTAATTGTAACAGGCTTAAAAATATTTGTCTTTAATTTTTATTCATTTTTTTTCTTATTTTAGTTTTTAATTTTTAAAGTATGTTCTTCAAAACTTAATTTTTTAATTACCTTTTTAATTTAGTCATGATGTCAAATAATTTTTGCTAAAATTAAACTAGTTTCCGCATATTTGGTTATGGAAACCTGTAAAGATAACAAGAAACTATTTATATAAAAGGCCACAATTTTATTAATAATTCGATAAACATCAGAATCAATTAATAATACTTATAAATAAGATTTTTATTAAATTACTGATTAAAATATAATATAAATTGGATTACTAATTAAAACAAGATTTTTTTCTCTTAAAAAAATCCATGTGTAATAATCAAAGTTTAATGTGGTAATATATTTGATTATTTTAAAAGAAAAAACTGCTAGAAAAATTATATTCATATCAAAATTAAATTTCAAAATGTTAGACAGCAAAATGAATTTAGATGAAAGAGAATTCGAAGTTTCTGTATTTTATTTTTGGTGCAAGTTTATACTTAATTGTTATAAAAAAAAGAGTATATAATATTAGAATAATAATACTTTTTAAATTAACAGATCTCTAAATCTAAACTTACAATCTCGTACTGAATTAATGAGAAATGTAACTAGAAACACTTTTATATCCATCGCAGAAGAATTTGTTACATTTTACGGTAAAATCTTTCGAATCAACATGATATCTAAAAAATAGTTTTTTCTGGTAACGAGATTTCAAAAAAATAGAATCATAATCAGATAATTCGGGGACCATATGTAATAATTAGGTCTGAAAAACGATCCGAGATAAATTTTGTATTCTTTAATTATTAATTTAAAATAATTTATTAATTTAATTTAGTTTTATTTAAGTGAATTTTTGAAAAAAAAATGAATTAGGGATGAGATTGAAAATAATTTTGAAAAAATTGAGTGAAAATTTAGGTTGTATGGGTATTTTTGAAAGAAAAATTGAAAATAAAGGAGTTAAAGTGTAAATAGAAAAAGTTCGGTCATGTAGGATCGCCCAGTCAGCAGCTTCGAGGAATCGGAGTGCGTCGTGTGGCAAGGCGCGCTGATGTCGGTGCCACGCGGGCGATCCGCGAGCCCTGCGATCGGACGATCTATGATCGATCTCCCGTGCGTGGACGACCTGGATTTGTTTCCTTCTTAGGCGCGATTGGACAGTTGAGATTATTTGCGATGAACGATCCATATTCGTTTCCTCTTTATGCGCGATCAGACGGACGAGATTGATTACGATGAACGGCTCAGATCAACACAGAATGGTTATAAATATTTCGCATCACACGGAAACCTAAACCATGGCCACCAGCCCCTGCTGGAGAAGAAGAACTAGATGCCAGAGAAGGAGGTCGACTGCCGACCACCGCAGTACTGGAGCCACTACCGACTGCCAAAAAAGATAAAAATTCCCCTTACTCACTCGGAATTCGATTCCGTGTACCTCTGGAGCTAAATTGGAGCAAAAGGGACAGCGGGTGAGCCGAAAACCACGAGCAAAGTCCGGCGGAGCCGCCGCAGCTAAAATTCCAAAATCACTTCGATGAGCCACTTTTCGATTCCCGTTTCATGTGATTTTTCGATTATTGTGTTCACCGTCATTTTCTGTGCAAAGTAGCCAAAGAAAGAGCCTCAGCCGCGAAGGAGGACCGACGGAGCCATCACACCCAGAGGTTCATCAGCTAGTAGGTTCGATTTTTTTGTGATTTTCTGATCAATCGAGGCCCCTAACGTGCTTTTCTGCAAGGATACGGCCAAATCGGCCAGGCTGAGGCGAACCACCGCTGTGCCGGAACTCCAAAATTGGCCGAAAAAAATTATGGACACCGATTTTGGACTTTTTGAGTATTTTTTAGGTATATGACAAGTTTTTTGAATTTCTATAAACAAGATTCAGGAAACTTAGTACATGTAGGAGGTGTGATAGACTGTGCGACGTCTCGAAACACTGATTCGAGTAAAAATCTCTTACCCTATTCTCCATTACGGTAAATTGAGACTTAACGATGTATAATTTTGTATTTTGTGAAAAATTAGAAAATTCTAAAAATAATTACAAGTTATTAGTGGGGCCAGAATCGGTTAGTTCACAATTATCTTGATTCCTGTTTATTTTTTTGTACTGTTCTACTTGCTTGATTTTCGTATAGTATATGTTCTTAATTTATAGTTCCATAGTTTTATCAACTTATCTTGTTATTTTGTTTATATACCGTTAGCATGAATGTAGTTTAATTGATGTGTGAATGTGATATGAGATATTGATATGAGTTTATTGGTTGTTTATTGATAAAATCTGTATGTGAAAGACTTGCTGGTTACCCAAGGAAAGGGTGGACGGATGGACTCGGTACATAAAAAACCCTATCGTTAATGTTATTTCAGTCGAATGGGGTTGAAAAGTCCTTTACTAGAAAGGTTTGAAAGATATTGTTCACTCTCATATCGGACGGGGTATCGAGGCAATGGAATATTTGCGCCCATTATCGGACGGGGTATGGGAACGGTTTGTAACACCCAAATTTTTTATTTTATTTTTATCGGAATTATTTTGATTTTATTTTATTTTAATAATTAATTTATTAGGTAATAATTATGTGGTTTTAATTTAATTTAATTTAATTTAATAGAAATAAAAATAATGATAATGATAAAAAGGGGTAAAATTATTTTTTGGATTTAATTGAAAATGATTTTGGAAAAAAGGATGAAAAATTGGATTTTAGGGATGTTTTTAAAAAGAAAATCGAAAACCAGGGGTCAAAATGCAATTTAAAAAAATTACACCAAGTCAGCAGCCACGTCAGCAACTCGGTTAGCAGCTTCGGTTAACCAGGACACGCCGCGTGGCAGAGACGCTGACGCGGGAAGACCACGCGGAACGGGCCATGTGGGCAATCCGCGTACGCGTGATCGGACGGCTGAGATCTGTTCCCGCGCGCACGGACGACCCAGATCAAACGCGCAAATGGACGACCCAGATTGCACGCGTGCGGACAGACCAGATTGAATCACGTACGGACGGCCCAGATCGCATCGCGATGGACGACCCAGATTCATTTCTAATTTAATCACGATCGGACGGTCCAGATTAAATCGTGATGGACGGCTCAAATTAAAAGGGGAGGGTTATAAATAATCTCATCCACACCCAACTCCAAACCCTAGCCACCAGAGCCCTCGCCGGAGAAGAAAGCCCAGCCACCAGAGGAACCAACCGCCGCCACCCACCGGAGCACTTTTCGGTCGCCAAACGAGGTAAAATTTCTCCCTTTAGCTCGGATTTCGATGCTGAACCCCCCTGTGGCCAAATTGGAGCCAAACGACCGGCCAATTAGCCAAAAAATGCCGCCGAAGCCTAGCGGCGCCGCCGCGGGTTTTCTCAATTTTTGCCTCCGATGAGGCCCGTCCCGTTTCCCATTCGATGTAATGTTTATACCACTATCACCACCATCCTTTTCTCTACAGGTTGATCGGAGCAAAATACCAAATCGTGACTCGCGCCGGAGGAGCCGCCGCACCCGAGAGGTCCGCCACCGGTAAGTCTCGATTTTTTGAGCTTTTTCGGTCCACCGAGGGCCTTACGTGTGTTTTATCACAGGAACCATTGCAAGTTTGGCCGAAAACGGCTGGAAACAGCCAACCCGAGGCGGATTATCGCTGCAAGCGGCGGCGCCATCGTCGAAGCATGGCGGAGCCGCCATGCCAGAATTTCAAAATTGGCCGAATAGGCCCTGGGTCTGATTTGAGGTTTTTGGGGACATGTGCAGGTACTGGAAATGTGTTTCAATTTTCGGAGAAAAATTTTGGGAATCTAGGGATTGCCCGTAGCCGTAGTGAG